TTATTTATTGCAGTGTGTGTGTGCAATGTTTTTTTTTTATCACTTCTTTTCAACTTGCATACATGTCTGGTATTTTGCATTTGTAAAATGCTATCTTTCTGCATTTTTATTTGACCATGCTAAAACAGAAAAGTATATTATATAAATCGAGTGTATAATACTTTCACTAGCAGTTATTTGCGTAATTGTAATCAATGTTAAATTTAATTTACAGTTTGAGTTTTGAGAAATCTGTTCTCTTTCGATGCATGCTGACAAGATCTGTCCTTAGGAACCATATTTTCTTGTACAAGGAAATGCTTGTGGTTCAGTAATTTTTTCTTCATTGATATTCTTTCCCCTTTGTTTTTCCTTTTCTTTAGAAACTTACAAATAATTTGCAATATATCGGCCGATACTTCATTATCTCTGAGATCAACCTGCGTAAGTACGCTATTTGTTTGCAAAAGTTCCAACACAATTTCTCCTCCGCGTTGAGTAATTCCGCAACATCGTAGACATAATGTTTTGAGCCAAAAGTCATTTTTCAATATACGTATCAACTGTTTCAAACCAGTATCGCTAAATCGGTGATTTTTATCAAGTATTAGTACTTGCAATCCTTCTTCCTGAAATGTGAATGCAAATGTGTTAAATAATTAAAATTAAAAACGTGATGTCTTAATTAGAATAATTTTTTCTTGATACATACCTTCGTTGTGCGAGCATCACGAGATAATGTTGACTCCTTCCAAACATTTTGCAACAAATCTTCTTTTTTCTTTTTGAGGAAAAATGACAGACACGTAGCGCTTCTATTAGTAAGGCAGCATGACGATAGATTTAGAACGTGAAGATTTGAATTACATTGCAAACTTTCCAACAGCATATAACATCCTATAAAAACGACATAAGTGCAAATATATTATTATCTTCATTTTTCTTTTACACTAGTTAAAATTTATAAAGGTTTATAAATTTATAAAGAAATTTATAAGAGAAAGTTGAATTCGAAATACGTAGATATGTCAGATCTATATTGGTGGTTTAAACAATTCAAATATTTTACAAATTTTAACGAACCCATATCGCCTATTCGACATCTGGCCAATGACAAGTTTCGCAGATTACGATTGTTTACCAAGCCATCAGCAAGGATCCTTAAATACTTGGGTGTCAGCGGGATACCATCAAGTATGAGGCTGGTAATCATCAACGAATTCTTCAGACAGTCTGCGACGGAATGAACGAAGCATTGTAGAAGACAATTCGTGTACAATACTGGCTGCCGTCGGTCCTTTCGTGCGCATCTCCTGAATGTGCGAGTAGAATGCCAATCCATTTGCCATTTTACGATTTGCGAGTTTATATATCATCGTTTTTTGCCATTTTCATATTTTTTAATTCTCCCTCTGATTATCCCTTTGTCGCGACGTCACCTGCAAGCTTAAACTTACTGCGAGTAGTATTCGAAAAAAGCAAATACTCCTAGTATTTAATTTTTAAATATTAAAATATTTTCAAATATTCAAATATTTTTTGTAACAATAATTATTTTGAGAAATGTTAAAATTATTGAATACAAGATATAATTTAATTCTCTATATTAATTATTTTTTATATGAACAATTTACGTTTCTCTTAAGTGTATAAAATTACTTTGTAAAAAAGTAATTTATTTATCTTTTTGTCACAATTTTAATTGGTATTTTAAATATTTACACAAAAGATTAAAAAATCTAAGAGATTCGATTTTTTGAAAATCATATCAGAAATTTCAAATAATTTTTTATATTAAGATTCATGTATAAGAATCATATAAGAATGATTTAATATTTATTATTTCTAGACAAATAAAAAAATTTTTAAACATGTTTTCATTTAATTACTAAAGTCGTTTAATATTAAAGTTAAAAGGAATATATCTATCACAAATTAAATAAATTTTCAATGTATTTTCAATTACCATAATTTTCTAAGTTTCTCTTCTGTGTCCATTTTCTCTCTAATCTTTTTATTGCGACATTGACTAAATACATGAATTTTAAACAGACTTCGATCTTCCATTATACTGCTCAATAGTGGCAACCAGTCTTTCAAATTTATATAATCAGCACAAAATCGCAAGCAGTTCTTTTGCAGATACATTTGTATGGTTGGCAAAGGTTTTACGTTTTTCTCGCGGCATAGCACCTTCATCAAAAATACGTCTTTAATATTATATTTTTTCAAAAAAAAAAAAATTATAATAATTGGTAAGAGGTTATTAAACAGAAGTAACACAATCTCTGTTCTACTTATCAAATCTACAAATAAATTTTTAGAAATTAAATATCTTAATTATTTTATTTTTTATAAGTGCTAAAGTGAATTTTTTATTTAACAATATCAATATATTTAACAATTTCAAAGTATAATTAGAATGGCTAAATTGTAAGCTAATAGTTTTATACGTTTTGAAAAAATTTCATAATTACAAACCTTGTATGTGTACTCAAATAATCCATTAGAACTTTTATGTTCGCAATTTTGCATAATGTCACGTGTAATTTTATCTGATTACGAATTTCACATTCCCTAAGGACCTATAATTTTCACCGAAATAAAATTTGGATGACGGATTACGCGTTTTGAATGGACATTGATATAAAAATATCGAACATTTGAACGCTACTATTAGTAGAGGGCATGACAATTGTTTCTTTATAAATTCCACTAATGGTATTGCGGAAAAATGCAATTTAATATGAGTAATAAAAACCAGAATTAAAGTTATAATTTATTTAGACATTCGTAAACAGTGCAATGGTAGGTAAGATAAATGATGAAATTATTGAAATCTATTTATATACATATATATCATATATTTATAATAAATAATAATAATAATAATAATAATAATAATAAGATCAGTCAGAAAGAAGAATAATTATTTGGAAAAATAAATAATACATATGCAGAAATATTGAAACTGGATGAGTAATATATTTAAAAATAATAAAATATCAATCAATAGAGATCAATTATTTTCTATCAAAAATTTAACAAAATTGTGTATTAGATAGATTTAAGAATATTAAGAAATAATAGATAAATTTATAATATATAGAATAAGTCCGGATCCTTATATAGACAACAGCGCTTTGACACAGAGCGCTGATTGGTGAAAACCCGGTTGTGGGGGTAAAATTTACCTCCATCACCCGTTTTTCACCAATCAGCGTTTGGTGTCGAAGCGTTGTTGCCCGTATGAAGATCCGGGCTAAAGAATAAATTTATATTAGAGAAATATATGTATAGAATATTGAAAATTATTGTAGACAAGAAGATAAAAACTTTTTTCTTAAAATGCATAAGAATATATTTATAAGATAAAAGAATGTTGTCACATAGAATGTGATAAAATATGTGAATAATATACATTATAAAATTGCTATTATACAAAACAATTTCAACCGTTCTTGTGAATGCACTCGTGCATTTACTTATCAAGCGAGCAGAAATTGAGAATTTGCATTAAATGTACAAGAAGCATCGTGTTAAAAAACAAAGGATAAGAAATAAAACAGATATATAAACACATGATAAGCACTTGTGTAAAGATAACTTACGTCACGGAAATTCTAAAACGATCCTAAATAGTCGCCTTATAAAAAACGACGTCGTGTTAAGCGATTAAATTTACAATGATAATTCCCCGACATCTTGTATTTGCTACTCGCAAATTCTACTTATCCCTCCCTCTATTATCCGTGAGTATTAATAGTTTAAAATTAGCGCTTATAATTGAAACACGCGTGGATCTTTTATACACGGTATCTTCATATATGTTTATGAATATTGCTCTGTTACATTATTTAAAGTAAAAACATGAGACAGATGCATGACGATGGACAAGAAGACTTTGAACGAATGAGATACGCCGATTTCAAAGACGTCCTCGAGAAATCGCACAACTTTAGCCAGTGAGTCTGAGGCCATTGTGCTGCCTACCCCCGATTCTATCTTCATTAAAATCTCGCGCACACCTCGAAGCGCCGTGTCGCCTGACAAAGGAGTACTCGCGATGCCTACTGTTCGCCTACTGTGAAATCGTCGTCATCCCAACCGTTACGTGACATCATGAAAGTCTTCAATGAAAAGTTTTCACCTCTGTCCCACTATCTTTGCTTCAGTCGCCGAAATAAACGCCGCTTGAATATGCCGAATACGCGTCGGGAGTTAGCGCGGAACCGTGTCTGACCAAGTGTTCCGTATCTACTTGCACCGCATCTACTTCAGCGCGAGGCAAACGTTTGAAAAAGAAAAAATTTCTCTACGCAATTTAACGAGACTACAAAGTTAATCTTATCGGATGTAAGGATCGCCTCTTCTAGAACAGAGACTCATTTGAACGACCTACGATTGACATATTGTGTTAAAAAATATGTGATAGGCACATTCAGTAAACATACGTACATGCTTATACAAACATACTGGCCTGTTATCATTGTTTATTTCCGAGTGCAATTAACGGCTTTATTCTTCTTTATCGAACAATTCAAGTGTATTTTTATTCATCAAATTGATTGTTAAACATGTACATTTTATTTGTTATCTTGATGTTTCGAACCGACATAAGTCGCATCCGTCTTATTTTAAATTCAGCAGGAGTCATCGTATATTTTTTAATAAATATTTTTAAATATAATTACATGTAAATGTTAGTGTTGTAAAGTGATAAGCAAAATTTAATATTAATAATTAATATATATATGCTTAATAGTAATAATTACTATAAATACTATTGAACGGATGTTTAATTAAATTTATTAATTTGTAGGCATAATCATATAAATTAAATTTAAAGTAAAAAATAATTTGGATTATCTTTTTATTAAAAAAAAGTAGCTGCCAACGTTTAATATAATAAATATTACTTTTACATCTTTCTTTTTACTTACATGAGCATAACACATTTCAAGATAGCAAAATAATAAAAACTTTTATTTATTAAAGATTATTATCTTAAAAGTCTTATCTATCTCTTTAACTTTAAACTTTAAATATCCGTATCTTGGTATAGGAACTGCAGATTTGTATCACTATGAAAACAGTGTCTCTGGTAATTATGCACACAACACTATTTGCCCATTTCATGCCCACACAACGCGTAATCGGACGATTTACGTGAACGGCTATCTCTGCAGAATGTCTCTAATTGCGCATGCCGAGGATACAGTTATGTGGCTGCCAAGTGATACAGCTATTTGAGATGCGTCGCGGAACTTTTGAATTACATGTAGACACTTTCGGTGGAAGATAAGATAAAGCTGACTGGGAAAATTGCACTGACGTATGACCTCGCACACGCGAAATCTTCGCCTCGGTCTTGACGCGCGTTCAATGCTGACTTAATCGTTAACGGTTGCAGAGTTTTCGCGAAATTTCTGTTTGTTTCAACGAGAGCAAACGTTTTGTCTGACTTTTTAATGAATAATTAATAACTATCGCATATTGTAAACGTTACGAATGTTTACTAAATCTGTTTGAAAGTGAAAAATTCCAAGTGATTGAAAAAAATCCCAGTTGATGCAACATAAATTTCACCAGTACTCATTATTAATTACTCGATTATTTAATCGAGTAATTTAACGATTTAGCATATCATTCTAAAGTGGTTTAGTCTCGGCTTTATTAGCGCAATCTTTTATGTACGTTAATTAATGTAAAATAGTATCCGCACAATCAATGTTTGGGTTATGCAAAATCAGTGCGCAGAGGACTGTTTCCTTCGGTCTCGAGATAAGCAAATTGATATGGTGCATGAGCGTGCATTTTTACACACACGCGTGCACGGTAAGCACACGTTTCAATTAAATAATGTTAAATTCTCAGCAATTTTATTTTTTTTCTAAATGAAAAAGAGGAGATTTTGCTTCTACCAATCGCCTTCGATGAAAGGTAACCTAACGATACTTGTCGCGGCTGTCATTGACGATTCAGAATCTGGCCGGATGCTTTCCGAAATTTCCGACAATGTGAGAGATAACAAGAAGGCTCATCGCGAACTGAAAACTCGTCTTAAGAATGGGATGCAAGATTAGTGTACTGAAGTGCATGAGAGGCAAAGTCGAGCAGGAGAAGAGTACATCGTCGGAAACTAGCAGTTCTATCGTTATAAGCGGTACGTTACTTTTTTTCTTCTAACATATTTTTGTTTCAATCATTTCCCATTTTATCAGAATATAAATTGTTCCATGTTTATGTAAGCTTAAATTTGGAAATCAGAATTTATAAAAGATGTAGACAGTTGGACAGACATTTACATTATGATTTATATAACAATGCAAAGCTATACATAATTTTTGGTAATTTATTGTGAAAATAGATATGATTCATTTCATAATTTACTTCACACTTCATGCAACTGTAAATTAAAAAAAAAAATGTTTTGCTATATGATTTCCTACAAAAAAACGTAACGATAAAATATACTAAAAAATTATATTTTAGATTAATCGATTATTTAATAATTTTGATTAATAAATAATATAGAGATATAAATATAATGTATCGCAATCCGCATTGATTATTTTAATGATTGGACTATAAAATAAAAATTTACAAACAACTTATATCCATCTCCAACTAAATCCTTTTGATGTAAAACTTAAGTGCTTCCTTTCGATTGCAAAATGTAATCAAGTTTGCACGTGTTCGGTTCTTGGAGACATATAATATACGACTGGAGAATTTCAAACGTCGAAGCATAGTAATCTTCTCTCGAAGGTCGACTTCTGGATGATTACATTCTTTGTGTTTGTTCAGTATAACCTGTTTACGGCTGCTTAAAGCAACATTACACTCCTACAGAATTTACCTTTTAAATGACTATTTCTGTCTTTCTATATTGCATTAATTTAATCTATATCTCAGATATACATATTTTGATGCTTCAATTGATAGCAAAAGAAAGCTTTTAGAATTTCCAATGCACGTGCTTTTTATATGCCTAAAATCTACATTATCGTTAATATTCTTATAATTATGTCAATTACACATAAATATGCATTATATTCACATAATAATTATGACAAAAAGGAATTTGCACCACACACATAAATATAATTACTTACAATTTAATTTATATTATTAGTTTACTTTCAACTGATAAAACATAAATTTGTAATTGTCATAGAAAATAATTATTTATTTATATCTATTTCATTTCTTATTAATTGTTTCTTAACATAATATTTTTTATGTATGTCTTAGAGCATTTATATTAAAATTATCTTTTTGGTTAAAAAATGTATACATAATCGTTTGATATTTACAATAATCAATCGTTACTTCAACTTTTACGAACTACTGAGTATACTATAGTTCTACATTACACAATAATAAAAAGTTCCATTATAATTGAAGAAAACTATTATTTCAACATTTTTATACGGCGAAACGGGATTTTATTGTTCAAATAAATTTTTATTTTTTCTTCCGACTTTCTAATCATAAAGATCGTAATGGTTTAACGTTAACAAAAGTTAAGAATAATCAATGGAAATCACATTACCATGCATCCGTCTGATGGATGCCTTTCAATAAAGAGATGGGAAGGAAGAGCGGGGAAGGTGGACTTCAGGTAACAGTCATTCTCCTTGACCTAGTCTACGACCGACCACGCCGTGCGTGTGTCAACTGGAGTCATCGTTCGAGACATGAATTAATCAGATGTACGAAAGGGAGCAACTTGTAGCAAAGCGTTTCTATTTTTTCGTTTAGGAGTCTGCGCGACGCAATGTCATGCTAGCCGCGGCCGTATAATATTTCGTTCTCAAGGATTGATTCTAGGACGAAGGTTAATCGTTCTCCAACGCTTTCAAGAGGACTTTTGTAATTCTATCACTTGTACCAATTCTATACTTATATCTGTGTTTGTGTGTGTGTGTGTGTGTGTGTGTGTGTAATTCTTTAAATAAATAAATTATCTTTCAATAATCCATTCACTAATCTTTCAACAATAATTTGTT